TAAGTGAGTGGAGTAGCTGGGCACCCCGACTACCTCCATGGATCGCACCCCTTTGTGACTGCTGGACTGTGTCGTTTGTTCCTTTTGGTCCATGCGCTCCAAACCGGTACATCAAAACTCCGGTGCCCAAACGAACAGACACGACGGGGTCCCGACCTCCACCGAAACGCGTTTCACGAAGCGAAACCGCGCAACGGCTTCTGAACGTAATGCCGATATTGGGAGAGAACAATTAAAACCACACCCTGAATAGTTTAATGGGTGGGAATCATACTGTAAATAGCTTTGTGTTTTCGCCCAGTTGTTTGATGTTTTTTTTTTTCTGTGTTGTTTCTTACTTTTCTTTTGTTTTGCTATTGCTGCCCTTTAAAATCCTTACTTAAGTCTTCTGAGGTTTGCTTGGTTCATGGAATTCTGACCTGCCAAAGTGCTTATTTAAACTCAACGAATTCATTGCTCCAAACAATGTTCAACTGGGTAGTGCACAAACCCAGGGGAAGTGAATTGAATAGTAGGAATTGTTGAGGGGTTCGCAATAATAAACACTATCTTGCCCTAGGAAAATATCAACGACCACTATTACTAATAATAGACATACTTCGGGTGTTGATTCTAGACACCCTGGATTGTTTGATAGGGAGGGAGGAGCCCTTTTACTATTTAAGATCGGACATTGCAAATCAGTCCAATGATGTCATTGCTATCAGCAAGATTTGCCACATGTATTGCCTTTTGTCGAACCTCTTTCGATCCTGATCACATCCGTGTCTTCCATGACCAGATGCTCCGTTTCCAATGCACTCTGTGCGAAGTTGTCTCTACGAAGCCAAACATCTTCAACCCTCGGCGTGCCACAGAAGGCCGGCGGCACAAGCGGCTACAAAGTTCTTGTCCATCATGGACTCCAAAGTGCAGGCTCATTGGAGGACGCGGCGGCCACAGTCACATCACTAGCATAAGGCATACGGCCACAAAGCAGAGTTCGTTTGCAAGTTTTACCTTTATACATCTTTATATATCTTTATGTTGTCATTTATGGAAAGCCGACACTAGCAGCCGACAAGAACTTAGAAGGTCAAGCAAACGTTGGCCGAAATCATAGGCTCAAAAAGCTAGAGTTTGGGACTGTCAACACACGCCAGTCACTCCCACAACTTGAAAGCAAGGCCGGAGAGCGAAGACAAACGACTGCGATGGATTCATCCAAGCCCTGATTTGCTGCAGGAGCCTCCGATCTTTTTTCTTCTCTCTCTCTCTCTCTCTATCTCCGGACATCCCCACCCGCTCCGCCGCTCACCACACCGGGTTCCCCAACTCACGCCGCCCAGGCCCGGCTGGGAGCAAACTCCAGAGGTGTCGAGCCGAACCGAGCGTCGAGCCGAGCAGTGCGGTCCGGTGAAGGAAAGTAGAGACGGACCATATCCCAGACACGACCTGTTTGGGACTGGAGTATGCCGCCCCATTGACCCCTTCTCAACCACCCCAATCTATGATAATCTACTATGTAAACATGCCATACTTGGGGTGTCTGGCTGTTATATTTCGTGATGGGTTAGAAGTAAAATCAAATAGCGCGACTTGCGGACACGAGTCAGCCACGGCCGTTTGGCAGTGGACAAGTAAAATGAAATACAAAAGGAAAAAGATGGATAAGATGAGGGATGATACTGTCGGGGTCTGTCCTATGACCTGTAGCAGTCAGTAAGCAACTAATACTAATACTATTCTTGGAAAAGGCCTTTACTAACCATCCATCATCAGCCACTGTTACAGGTAATAGGATAGATTCAATTAATTATATATATATATTAGTTCCATTCTTTTTCCACTGCCAGGTGAGGTGAGGGCCGTTAGATTTTAGCAGAGATGTACGCCTTCCTCCTCCCCGTCTTCCTCTCCTCACCTCCCCTTCCACAAGTACCAAATAGAAAGTATCGTTGAGAAGATGATTGTGGAGTTGACTGGCGGATGTTCTATCTGACCGTTCTGTTGAGAGGCCAGCCCATATCCGAAACGCAAAGAGTTTTACCAGTCCATTTGTTCAGTGCGGTGTGCATGTGGTTTTTCCTCTTGGTAGAGGCACGTTGATGTGTTGCATGTCCAAGTCCCACTGTTCAGTGTGGTGTCCTTGTGTGAACCGAGGCAGCGCAATGTGGGTGTTCTTCCACAAACGTGTTTCCAGTGGGTTAGTTCGTGGGAGAGTGCATGTTTAAGACCTAAAAACTATCACCTTTTTGCCCCCCTGAGCAGCCAATTTCTATGCTAAGACAATGTTCAACCAGAACAAGTATGACTAATTTGAAAAAATAAGCACTCTTTAGTCGAACGTTGTCTTTAGGTTCCACACTCAATTCCCCATTCTACCATGTTGTTTCTTCTGGCCAATTTCACGTCAGCCAGACTTCTGCCTTCGTCCGTGAGGCTCGAAGGCACCGCATGCGGCGGCCGCTCAGCCAAGACCTTCCAACTGTCCTAAGAATACGGGCCATCAAATGGAAGGGGTATGGTTCGGGTCCGGACCCTGCGTTCGGTGTCGGGTCCGAACCCTGCCATGGAGGGCCCAAGAGTTCTTAGGGTGAGAGGTTTTTGTATGTGTTGTAACCTCATGAGGGGGAACATTGCATGATTCTAGATGACGGGAACCCGTGGGTTCCGGAACACAACTGCTTCAATCATACTGTTGGATTAATTAGTTGCAAGTGTTTGTCAGGTGTGGGAACCGAGTGTGGGACACCTTAACTTTTGGAACATGTCGGTTATAGACGTTGAGTGTGGGACAACATGGGACAGATGATCCGATGATCCCATCGAGATGGATGTGCTGCCACTGTCGGTATAGACCATTGGACCTTCGAAGACCAGTGAGGCGAACTGACTCTGTTTTGGGTAGTAGTTTGATTTGGGCGTTGTCAACTCCCCAAAGGATACCTATCAAGTAAACACAAGTCTCGAAAATGAGAATACTGTAAATGTTGTGTAAGGGTGTGCATTCCACTTGCATCCTTGTGATGTGTATGTGTTGTCTTTGATTCTTCCGTTTTGCCTTTTGCCAATGTTTGATTGTCCTAAAGGGCGAATACAAATGATAACATTATATACATAGTTGGGGTCTGTCCTATTACCTGTAACAGTCAGTAAACAATTATCATATGTTTTTGAACAAGGCCTTTACTAACCATCATCATCCACGGTTACAAGTATTAGGATAGACCCAATACATAGTTATGGTATGTTTGGTAGGAGACTTGAAGAACCTCTGATGTTCCTCACTTTGAGACTTTCACTACCATGGCTTCGGCCCCAAGCACCCAAGAGTTCAGTCGATCCCCTGTAGGTTTTCCTTTGTCGGGAAATATGGGTTAGAGGTTAGAGGCCTGTGAGTCAATAGCGAGGCCATGGCCCAAAGTGGCTAGACAGGTTGAACAGGTGGAAACAAGGTGAATCGTTATTCCTGGGAAACCGGCTTGGACTGTCGAGGCCAGGACTGGCGACAAGCATTTGTGACTAGTTCTGTGGCTGTCGACCAGATCCGTGTTCTCCCAGATTGGTGGCTCTCCGCCCCTGGGGGTCTCCTCGAAGGCCTGTTTTTGGAATACCGTACAATCCGTGAACCACGAAAACTTTTAGATGTTGTTTAGATAGATTTGTTATAGGGTACGTTCATTTCCAAAGGTATGTTTTTTCATCAGCCGAACGTTTGAGAGACCAAAGACGACCACATAAGACCACTTCAAAAGTTGGGACAAACATGGATGGACAAGGGACACACGTTTCGCCTGATCCGAAGCAAACCTTTTCATCCATCGAAGCTGAGACCGCCTCCCTTGCGGTCTTGCGGTCTGTTGAATCATTGAATCCTGGTGCCTGAGGCAGCGACACCCAAGACACAAGTGGAGTGTGCTCTTTGTGGTCGACAGAAGATGTGTTGGGGAACTTGGGTACTACGAAGTCGAAAAGCTTTAGCAAGAAGCTAGGTGGCCATTGCTAGGTTGGAGGCCATCGCTATCTACTAAGCTATCCCCGGTCTCGTCCGTTGGGCGTTGACTCGGCCGCGCACGTCTGATGGTGAGGATGTTTGGGCGGTAGGGTTAGATCGAAATAGAGGAAGTTAGCGATGGCCTCCGACCTGGTGACCTATGGGCCTGCAGCCTGTTTAACAAAAGTGCATGTTGGATCATTTGGAATGTCATTTCTACGTTCCATTCAGCTTTGAAGATGGGGAGTCAAAACAAGACCCTGTGCCCCCCTGTGAGCCTTAGTATTAATATGAATTGACCCATGCATCTGAGCAGCCACTCAAGCGGCGTCCTGCCCGCAGCCACCTGGACCTGTAGGTGTTTGCTTGTCTAGACACTTCACTTGTTCAGTGAAAACAGAGGCCATCGCTAGTCCAACGCTCAGGTTATACACAGGAACAAGAGTCAACCTTGAGGACACTACTGACAGGAGTTGCCTCATGACTCATGACTGTGGTTTCAGGAATGCAAAGCAACAACCAAAGGCCGCCTGCCTGGATCTATCTCTTTCTTTGCATCCATGGGTGGCCTAATGAAAGAGCTTTTGAATTAAATTCTTCCAGTGCCTCATGCGCATCCATGAGGAAGGGAATCCACCCATCCAGTAACCACCACAGCTTCTGAGTGTTTGCCTGCCAAGGCCAACCAGGAAGTTGCTTCTGTCTCGAGTGCAGCAAGCGTGAGGCCCACAGGATTTCTTGCCGCGTCTATAGCACTAACAAAGTCCTGATTCCCCAGATTCTGAAGGGTGTTGAAACCGGTTGAAACGCTTGTTGTTCCCACGGACGACCTTGATGCAAATTCAGCAGCCACGTTCGTGTCATGTTAGATGAACAAAAAAATACGATAACAAATATATAATATATATTATATATAGTCTTTTGAATCCTGCTCTGAGAATTTCAGCTTTGTCCTGAGGAAGAAATCTCATGTCAGACACCTTGACTTGTCCAGTACTTTTTTGCAACCTTCGTTGCATGACCAAAGCGATGCGGCTCAACCACCGTATCGCCGTCTCCTTGGGTGCCATGGGCTGGCGCTCGGGCACGCGTCAAACACCGCCATGGGCGGCCTAAGCGTGGAACGTTCCGCCGAGGGAAGAGGATGGCGGCGGCCGCGATCATCGCGATACACCGACGAAGCTGGGCGAAGACTCGTCTTGATTTTTTTGAGGTTGAAGGAAATGGCCTCCAACCTAATAGGGATGGCCTATGATGGCCTCCAACCTAGAAGCGATGGCCTCCAACCTACAAGACTAAGAGGAAATCAATTCTGAACTTGAAACCAAGAACACTGCAAATACAATATGATCAAGTCACTAAGAGCCATACAGCTTTCCAAGTCACAGGGAACTGGTTTCCAAGCATTTCCTCGTAGTGAACCAGGGCCCTGTCGGAGAAATCTGCCCAGGAGTGACAAGGGAGTCCCATCCAGGCTGCCGTGGATGTGGGGCACCCAACTCCGTCCCCCAAGTTAGGGACCCTGTCGAAGGTGACTCCTGGGCAAGCGATGCTTTTCCATGGGACTTACTTGAGCTCCAGGATGCACCCAACTCGGTCGAAAAAGCTGGGGGAAAGGACACACCGACTCAGGCGTTGGTCCGGATTGGTCAGAGGTTCAGGTTCGCCTGTTTCAGGACCGGTCAAGCGACTGTCCCAACTACCGGTTGGTTCACTCACTGGTCTGACATCGGTTGAGAGTGTGAAGAGTCGGATGCTGGCTGGAGAGTCGGATGTTGTGGCACATGCTTAGTTTATTTATTAGAGAGGGAGTCTGAGAGTCACCGGCGAAGATAGAAGCGGACCACGAAAGTGTCTCTGGTCTTTTTCACACCTTGGATCACCTGGGTATGTTTGGGTGGTTTTCTTGGTTCCTTTTTGTACTCCGCTTCAATGGTTCTGGTCGCTTTCACAAACACTTCAGGAAGGTCTTTGGAAGCATTGGCCGCAGCAAGTCCAAAAGCGAAGCCTCCCACCAAGACCGTCGCCTCTACCTTAGATCTGCCTGAGCAGGGGCAAGGCTTTTGGAGATGGCAGAGAAAGGCCTGGCTGGTTGGACCAGGGGTGGTGCCATGGTGGGGGAGCTTTTGCCTAGCCACTTCTTCGGATTGCGTCAAAAGACGCTCAAAGACAAAGGAAGCGTGGAGTTCAACTCAGAATCACCGAGTTTGCACCATGAATCACCGAGTTCATCACCGATCTGTAAGTCACTCTACAAACGAGTTTCCGTTCCCTCTACGGTCAATCGTTTAGTCTGACCGCGGTTACGGAGGCGTGTTTTTTCGATGCGACCTAGAGACCAACGGAGTTTCTGGTGGCAGCCCTCAACTGGGATGGGTAACCTGGAACACCGGAACACCTAATCGAATGGTTGACCTGACGTCGGTAGATCTGCGACCAGGTATCCGGGTTGCCGAAGCCACAGCCACATAGGCCGAAGTCTTCAGTCTTCCATTGTTGAGGAAAGGATAACAAAACAATATCCTGTGTGTGTTGTCCTTTTGTATAGTGTGTTTGGATGGTTTTGGGGATGGACACGTTTGTGAAGAAAGTCGTTGACGACTCACACGAGGCAGCTTGGGCGTACCTGCAATCTCCTGTACAGCTCTTTGTGGCAGTCCTGATCGCAGGGAACTTTGTTGCAAACATCGTTGAGAAGTGGATTGACCCTTCAGCAGAGCAATATCCACAAACGTGGGAGGCCATTGATAGCTTCTTTAATTCAGTCTTTGCCATCGAGTTGGTTTGGAATATGTCTCTGGGCTGAGAAAAAGTAAGTTTTTTGTGTTTGTTAAATTCATGTCAACAACAGGATCAAGACCTGTTGCCAACTCCCCAAAGTTGCTGGCTTGCGTTGCACAGCCATAGTAGGAATCTCAATCTTGGCAAATCCTCTTTTGTGTTTGATGGTCCAAGATGGACTTTTAATGAACTTTATGTTGCTTTGTGAAAGCGCGAGAGAGAGAGAGAGCGAGAGGGAAGGAATCTTTCCCCCAAAAAGAGATGTGTCAAATCAAAACCATCCATGGAAGTTTGACACGACAACAATCAGACCGAGCAAAGCGCTTGAGAGTCAGTAAACACCGACCGAGCGTGTGTAGACTGGACATGGTTCCTTGGCGGTTGAGTTAAAAACGCAGAAAAAAAACACGGGCGCCAAAGCAAGCACGGGCGTTGAGCAACTGTTTTGGGCCACCTGAAACGCCTTTGATCTGACTGCTATGAAACGAGCTTGTGTGAAGTTCAATTGAGCTTGTTCATCGAAATTCTGAATTGAAGCCTCCGCATGTAGATCTGAACTCATCACACACTAGAATAAACACGTATCAAATTCACATACTTTGGGGCCTGTTAGTCTTTCTGTTTTGTTTGGTTCACTCATAAGAACTCTTATGAAACACGTGGATGTGGACCAAAACTACCACTAGCAGCATCCACTAGCAGCATCCTCGTCCAGGTATGCGTTTTGGTTTCGGCGCTTTTGGACCTCTGCATGGAATGTCTTCGACTTCGTGGTCGTGACCATTGGAATTCTCAACATGTCGAAGTTGCCACTGCCTGGGCCACTGAGCTTGCTACGACGCGTGGATGGCACGTTAGGCACGTGGCAAGCTGCCGCACCTGACTTGTGGGGCTCAGGGGTGAAGATCCCAAACGAGCTATCCGTGTCTCTTCACACTCTTCAAAACTGGTGTGATCTCAGAACTATTGTGCTGTTTGGGGGACTTTTCTGGGACGCCAAAACTAGGATGAGAATGAACTTCATGGAGAGCACACACATAAGTGCTACTTTTTCACAGACGTTTCAGCCAACCGGACGAAGAGATGGCCTCCAACCTAGAAGAGATGGCCTACAACCTATAGAAGCGATGGCCTCCAACCTACGTAATAGCAATGGCCTCCAACCTAATGGGAATGGCCTCCTAGGAATGATGCGTGCCTTCCGGGTCTTCCGGCTTTTCAAGCGCGTGAAGTCCCTCCACGCCATCATCGTGTCGTTGGGGCGCTCGGCGCCTGGTGTAGCTAATGCCTTTGTGGTACTCCTGCTGGTCATGGCCATTTACAGCATTTTGGGGCAAGAGTTGCTCGGTGGCTGATGTGTTTTTTTAGTGGACATGCCGCCGTTTTTTTCTGGGCTGTTCTTGGTGGATGTCGCCTCGTAAGAAATGCTTAGATTTGGGTGCACGTTGAAAAGCTCTCTGAAAAGCACGTTTGCCAAGAATATGTTTTTCAACGACCAGCATCGAATCGTGATAGTTGTTCCACACGATTTCAGAAACCCGCATGACTTGTGATTCGCAACAACAGGAACAGGACACGGCCCAGCATTGAAGGAGAGTGGGCTTGGCTTGGGCCTTGCTTACAGTTTGCACCATGCTTGGGCCATCTTAGGCCACCTTTTTTTGACCACAGGTCCTTGGACATCCTGGCACAAAACAAGGAACTCCTGCTTTGACCAGTTGCGATGGGGCTCGCTTCGAACTCGAACTTTTGGGGTTTTCTCGCGATGTGAACCTCGAAGAAACAGGGAATGCACATGCGATGTTGGAGGGCCCGAGATGCGTGAGATCATGGAAAGCCGGCGACATGAAATGTTTGAGTGAGTCATGGCACATGGTAGTGAGTCATGTCACCACCCCCACCAGTCTTCATGGTTTCAGTTGACATCCCGAAAAAAAAAAAAAAAAAGAGGAATCTGTTCAGCCATGACCCGGGGTCAACCAGGGGTCTCGGTGTTTTGACCCACATGTTTACCTTTTGTTTGGGTTCTCAGGAGGGCGAGGGGGGATTTGGGGAAGATGTGCTTGCTTTCTCGAAAGCGCACTGGAGCCTTGAAAAGAAATTCATCATGATGCATTCGCTCACACTCACATTCACTCTCACTCACTTTGACATTGGGTTTTCAGTTAACTCAATTCCCAGGTCGAAGAAAGGTGATGGAACGGAAAGGTGAAGCGTCCAGGCACTTGAAGGTGTTTGAACAAAGTGTTTTCAAAAAGCTCGCAAAAGTCTCGCGGAAAGCGGTGGTGAGTCATCAGCTGCAGAAAGCGGCGGTGGGAAATGTTTTGGGGTCTATCATGAGAACAACCATGGAAGCAAACCAAAAAAGTTGACTAGCGTGTTCAAAAGTTCAATGTGTCGCAGGTACGCCAGCATGGCCAATCCTGGTATCCCGTGTTCAGACTAGCTTCGGTGGGCGTAGTCACCTGAACACGCTACGCCCCCCTGCGTGTAGAAAACTCTTAGATACAGAGTGTGACACACACACACACACTCACCCATTCATTGACAGACAGGAGACAGTTTTTGTCAGACGCGTTCGGTTTTCGTCTCCAGATCTGCCTTGCTTCGTCGCTCAAATCCCTACGCTTCGTGCCTCAAGGTTCTTCATGCTCTATGCCTCGAATGGAACCTTCGTGAACGACTCCTGGACGTTTATGTTAGGATGTCACTTGATGTGTCGACTACTTTGTTTGTTCTCCTGAAGCAAAGCAGGGACCTTAGCATATCTTAGAATGAATATATTAATATAATAAAGGTTTGGTTTGTGATAAAAGCAAAAAACAATGAAAAGCATCATAAAAAAATTCACCCTATGACAGCCGATGAACCTCAAAGAACAGGAACATCTACCACATGTTCGATGATTTTCATGGTCCACGCGTAGGATATGCACGGAAGGCATGGAAGGCGCTGGGAAGATGTTGTTTCAATCTCCAAGGACTTGAATCAAGAAGTGGAATTGCTCACGGCAAGAGGGTTGGACTACGGCTGCCAAGCTGAGAACTGATGCGTGCTGCATTGGTTTCATTGGTTAAGCTAGAACTTCCAGCTGAGGCAAATGTTGTTTAGTGTTGATTTGCTTACCTTGTTTGAGTAAGTGTTGCTTGGGAGGAAAAGGAGGAAAAACAATTGGTCCAAATGTTTTTGGTTTCGAAGACACCTCATATTCGTTCTCAGATTTTTTCTAGAACTTTACAGCGAATTTGTCCATTTTTCAGCTGAGGTTATGACTACTGGGGGAACTTTGGTCTTGCCTTGTACACGATGTTCCAAGTCTTCACGGTCGAGTCGTGGTCTGAGGGGATTGCGAGACCTTTGTTCAACACCAATGAGACTCGACCCTACACGCCCGCTTCGACCGTTCACCGCACGACGTGGCTGCACTGCGCCGGAACTCGACCGTTCACGGGCCAAGAGACCGGTGAAAAGAGTACGTCAAGCGGCATGCATTAAAAAGGCTACGGTTATTCATAGTTTTGTTGTTGTTGAAGTCCATGCGGATGAACTGGAGCGGTTTTTTTTGATGCGTGATTGCTTTTAATTTGCTTTTCCTGCTGTGTCAATGTTGTTATTTCTGTCTTGTTTTTTTAGTTGTTGTCTTTCTTTCGATGCCTCCATCACTCTTTTTCTTGCCAGGCAGGTCACGGGGGCGGAAACTCCGTTGTTCTGTGGGAACCGCACCTGTTGTCGATTCCTCCATCCTCGACCGAGAGACCGAGGATCTGTCGCAGCAGTTTGGGGTGGCGCTGTTTTTTGTGAGCTATTTGCTTTGCGTGGGCGTCGCCTTGATGAATGTGGTGGTGGCGGTCCTTCTCGAGAAGATGGTCTCCGATGAACCCCGTTCGGTGGCGGAGACGCCGAATGAGACCGAAGAGAAGTTGCCGGAACATCTGGAGAAGGTGTGTTTGGATATCGAGCTGGACTGCATTCATCTCAAACAGCAACTGTCCGCCGGCGAAAAGCACAGGTTTTTGTTACCCCTTTATTCCCTTTTTGGGCTTAGGGCCAGGGTTAGTCCTGGAGTTTTGATGCCCTGTTTTGGGGTGGTCCCGGGTCTGGCGTTCCTTTTTGCAGAGAGGGGACAATGTGTAAAGCTCGCTCATTGCGTCCAACTAGCTTTGCAAAAGACCTTTTCACAGATACTCTGTGTCGGCTTTTGTTCCAAATTGGTCGGAGGTCTTTCGAAAAAGCCACGGTGCGAAACAAATCAAGCCGGTGACATGCCGTGAAACGCCCGGTGACTCGATGTGTTTCCGGCAGTTCGTTACAGTGGCACCGGTCCCTTCGCTCGCAGCGCAGCGGTCAGCGGTCTGGTGTCTCCCAAAGGTCGAATTCGATGTTATCGAAAACATAGCAATGTTCGGACTCCCGGAAGATGTGAACTACATGTTGATGATACGTTCTGATGGAAGAAGTGGAAAAGGAACCACATAAAGGGGACCAAGTTGTGCAGTAGGTCAGTACTTTTAGGTTTTTGGTGTATACTGGTGTGTATACTGGTGTGTATACTGGTGTGTATACTGG